TGGAATCATGTGTGGATGGCGGTGTAGACCTGGGCTGCACAAAGCAGGGAAGTGCACTCAGAGACGGACAAGGACACTTATTTGCCCTGTCATATTTTCCTCTCCTAATTGGTTAAAGAATAGGAGAGGAAGTGAAGTCAGGTGAAACCACGAGACAAAGGCTAAGAAATCCAATTAGCCAAAGAGTGAGGGTTCTGGTGGGCACCAGCGCACCTGCCGCATTCTCCCCACGGCGGTGGTTGCTCTTGGTGGAGAAGCGGCAGCTGCCTGACAGTCCTGCAAACAAAGGTCCACAAAGCTCCAGGAGGAGCCGGTTTAGCCAGCGGAGATACAGGGACTAACCTCTCAGAGAGGGTCATTTTCTTTCTTCCTCCACCCCCATCACTGCTTTTAATACCCTTTATTTTAACACGTTGTTGACGACAACAATCCAACGGCTCCTGCATGTTCCGTTCCTGACGGTGAGGGCGTTCTTCAGGCTGGGTAGCCACACTCACCCTCCTTGTCCGAGTGACTCTTCCCCCTCAGGGTCCCGTCGAATCTTCTGAGTGGCTGATGTCATTCAATACTATATAAAGAGCCTGCTCAAGGAAGAGCTTCTTTACTGGTAAGCTAAGCTACCAACTGCTTTTCAGAAGACTTCGGGGAACAGTTTTGTCTTACGATTTAAAGATGATCTTTATCTTAGGGCAAGACTTTCACGGGCTCACCCACTTTCACGGTTCCGGGAAATCTGGAGTCCATGCAATGGAAAATTCTGTTCTGCACTTTCCCCTCTTTGATCAGGAGTCTTCGATGGAGATTTTTTTATCAAAACGTTCGGTCACGGTAACCAGGCACCATCTAGCTCTTCTGGTCTCATGGCAAAAGCAGCAGTTGTTCACAGAGGCAAATCGTTTCCTAGTCCATGATGTCCTCATCTTCATCCGCACTTTCCTTATTCCTCAGTTGCTCCAAGACAGACTAGCTGTTATGGCTTGGATGGCCACTTGCAAGCTTTTAACACTCAAGGCCCGATGCAGCAAACTGGGAGGTAAGGCAGGAGCACTAAGCATGTTGTTAAGTCATTTAACAGGGATGTTTCCTGAAACCATGAAGAATCCAGCTTAGCTGCTATATAACCAGCAGCAGTCCTGGACCTCCAGTTCCCAGAATAATTCTGTTTTTCTACATATTGTTCCGAGCAAGGCTTCGACTTTAGCTAGCCCTTTTCAAAGCAATTTGTTCTCCCTGATTTTCGTAAAAAGTAAATCCCATCCCAATAAATAGACTATTAATCAACGTAAGTTGTAGTCTACATCAGAAACAGTATTTATATATATATTTTAAACTCACCTCTACTGTCATGATGTAAACAGGAAAATAAGTTTAATAGGTTACATAGAATTTCACTTGATAGAAAACTGCATTAATATCAACTGTGCTGAATGTCAAGAGATTTGTAGTCTTAGCCTAAGGTGTCCTGCTTTTGGCAGAACAGTCCCGATTTTTAACAATTTTCCCCGCGTCCCGCGGCATTTTAAAAAAGTCCCGATTTTTGGAAAGAATGCACGACAAGTTAGGGTATACGGTTTTCAGCTGCCATGTGGCTATTTTGCCAGGATGTGAGTTTTATCAATGGCGTCCCACTTTACCAATGTTAAAGTCTGGTCACCTTATACTTAGCCCCAGTCTAGCATTTCCCACAATGACGGAGATTTCTCTACTACTCCAGCCTTACCAAAAAGAAGATAAAAGATTCCACGATCAAGTAACTTTTGGATCCTGTGCACTTTATCAGTAAAACAAGTCCCAAGCAAATATACTTGTTTAGTCCAAATGTCTACAAACGTAGTCAACTAGAAACTGGCTTTTCTGTTTGTTTGTTTGTTTGTTGTACCCTTGTTAACATTCTAGGGAACTTTAAATGTTACCTTGAACTACTATGGGAATAATTATCAGAAGCTGTGGAGCTACTATGGGAATAATATCAAACGCTCAAGAAAGTAACTCATGTCATTTAATGATTTCCTTTGTCCTCTTCACTCTAATTTAAAAAAAAGTTTCTCAGAGTCAATTCCGACTCGTGGTGAGTCAGAGAAGAGTCCTGCCCCACAGGAATTCCAGCGGCCATTCAGTCCCTCCCTCTCCCCTCTGGAAATAGACGGCCCGGCCTTTCCTCCGAGGTGCCACTGGGTAAATTCAGCCTCCAGCCTTCTGGTCAGCATCCGAGTGGGTGAACTGTCAGCGCCACCAGGGATTGTTCATTGTTGGATCAGAAGGAGTAAATATATTTTGGCCTATTTCTGTGTCTTCTAATTACAGTTTAAAAATCTTAATTCCTCTTTTTAAAGTTAGATGCTTCTCTATCAATGATGGAAACTAGAAGAATAATTAGTCATCCAAAAGCCAATTGGCATCACTCCATTTTGGAAAATCCTTACCATAGAGTTCACCAAATCCGTTCATAGGCACACGGGAGGTGCCCGTGACAAACTGAAGCAATCTTATCCTCTTTTCCGAGTCCATCATTAACACAGCCTGCAAAAACAGAAGGTGGGAGCGATCGTTGGAAAAAGGTAACTAAGTTGTTCTGAGAAGTACAAGATCAGAATTCAGTGATAGATGAATAATCCCGTGCTAAACGCATATGCTTCTTTTAGTTAAAATTTGTGTTTCTGAATGTAACTCTTTGAAATAGCGTGATCACATAAGAAAGGGACACAGCTTCCTCTCCCAGATCTGGCTCAGGCTTTTTGAAAACTGAACCTGTTGACACTGAGTGGCATACACGTTTCTGTAGAAACAGAAACCACTTTCAGAAGGGCCAGGGAGGAGACCCAGAGAATACATTCTAGGTCTTATCACAAGTTCTCTTAAGAGTCTTTCCTTCAGTAAGGAACTACACACATGCCGCAGCCTGTCGTTGGTACTGACTCCAATCATGAAGTCTGCCTGGAGGATGGGTCGGCCCCGGAAGGCCTGTTATCCATCTATATATTAGTATAAAATCAAAGATAATTTTTGTGAGGCTATATAATTTTCTGTATAGCCAAGAGCTAGATGTAAATAGGATAGACTACATCAAAGAATAATTCACGAAAACAGGAATGTCCAATTACCTTCCAAAACCACTGTATGACTTGATGGTTGGCGCTATAGCCGTTTTTATACTTGGTGTGCTCTTGCCAGTCATTCACGTCGACGTCTCCCAAGCCACACATGAGAAGCTACATGAAGAAGAAGAAGGGCCGCGCTGTCACCCAGGAAAACAACCGCGGCCAAGTTTGTTTTACGATGAAAATGCTTCTTACCTCCAGTTCGTTTTCATCAAAAATTTTGATGAGATCCTGTGGTATTAGTTCAAAAAACCCCTAGTAGAAAAAACACACAAAAAAACGTAGATTAAAACACCAACAACACCACCTGGTTAGCATGACCAGTAGGCATTCCTATTCTTCAGCTCCTGGGTGCTCTTAGTGAGGTCCCACGTCCCTGTAGGCTTCTACCACTAGACTCAACCAAGACCCCTACTCTGGCAAAAACATGCTATGTCCATAGTTTGTTCTCTCACTTATGCATCAAAGTAGCTATTTTTAAATGTCCCCATACTTCTCAAAGCTCCTTCTCTTCCATGTAGACCCTTCTTCACCACAGGTGATTTCTATTCAAGTGGGAAGATAAAGGCAGTTATGTAGCTCTCTTAACCTATCACTGCACCCACCCCATCCTGCCCCTCCCCCTGCAGTGGGAGAGAGGTGGTGCTACTTTCTCTTTCGGCAGGGCCCTTCACCTGCGCTTCCTCAGGAGGCCATTCACTCAACCCCCTCTTAACTCGTGCACTCCTCTGGTTTGGGAACGGTTGTCATGCCATGCTGTTGTTTGGTGTCTTGAGTTGGTCCTCCATCACAGTGACCCTGCACACAACCGCACAAAACACTGCCCGGTCCTGGGCCAGCCTCACAACTGTTGTGATGTCTGAACCCATTGTCGCAGCCACAGTGTCAATCCGTCTCACTGAGGGGCTTCCTTTTTTTTTTTTTGGTCACCTCTCTACTTTACTTAGCACAGCGGTTCTCAACCTGTGGGTTGTGACCCCTTTGGGGGTCGAATGACCCTTTCACAGGGGTTGCCTGATTCCTAACAGTAACAAAATGCCAGCTATGAAGTAGCAACGAAAATAATTTTATTTTCGTTGGGGGGGTCACCACAACATGAGAAACCGTTAAAGGGTCACGGCATGAGGAAAGTTGAGAACCACTGACTTAGCATAATGTCCTTCTCAGGGCCTGGTCTCTCCTGATAACATGTCTGAAGCACCTGAGACAAAGTCTCACCCTCCTGGATGCTAAGAAGCATCCCGCTGTTCTTCCTCTAAGACAGGTTTGTTTGCTCTCCTGGCAGTCTACAGTATTTCAATATTCTTTGCCAACCCCATAATTCAAAGGCATAGATTCTTCTGTGAGCTTCCTTATCCACGCTCCAACTCACGCATGCATACGAGGTGACTGAAAGTAACATGGCTTGGGTCAGGATCACCTTAGTGTTCAAAGCCACACATTCTTGCTCTTGGACACCTTCAAAGTGGAGCAAAGCTGCCAGCACCCTCCTTCACCTTGTTTCACAGCCAAGGTCTGACAGTGCAGTGTACTTCCTGACTCCACCTCTTCACCTGCCCTTTATTCCTCAACCTGTTAAAATTTGCCTAGCTCTGGAAAACATCGAAACAGCTTGTGGCTAAATCCAGTCCGCACTCTCGGGCCCCTGTCTTCGTGAGGTGATACTGGTGGAACTCCTATGTCCTTGAAACACTCCTTCTTCTCCTAGTGCTTCTCTCCCTTCTGTCTGCCTGGTTCCTCTCCTCTGACGTCTCCTTTTTGACAACCAGTCCTTTCATGTTCATGTTCCAGGTCTCCTTGCAGGGAGCTCTTTCATGCTCCTCCCTAGTCATGGTTTCCAGCAAACACAGTCCACAGCTTCACTGCACACATACAGATGTGTCGTGAAGCCCAGAAAGCCAACCCAGAGCTCCAGCCATGACATCACCCTCTGCCACTGTTCTGCCTAAACAACACCCGAATGCTCTCTTCTCATCCCCACTCTCTTGACAGCTGGGCCTAAGTCCTTTAATCCAGGACAGCATCGGGCACAGAGTCCATGCCGAATAGTTAACCAATAGACGAGTAGCTGAAAAATGGTTGTTAGCTTAAGGAATGCATGTCCTGAAAATAGCCTAAGGATCTACCAATGGAGGAAGTTTAAATAAATTATGGATTTGCATTGGGAATAAAGTCTACAGAATGTCAAGCAACATTTCCCAAGGGAAGAAGGTAAGTCATAAAACATGTGCAGTGTGAGCCCATTTAGAAAAGACATGGTATATTACACCAGCCCTCCAACACTCTCCCTCCTTTGCTCTCCTGAGCCCAGTGAAGGTGAGGGCAGGGCGCTGGACAGGAGGGAGGGGTCAGTGAGAGAAGGGAAGTGGATTGTCAACTTATTACAGGGCTATCCCGAATGATTGCATTTGAACAGGGAACATCTACTTGCATATTTTGTTAACTTTAAAAAAATCCAATGAAAATGTTATATGGGGAATTGCAATCAATGTCACGAAGCAAAATGACTTAAAATTGTTGACTTAAAAAACTACGGTCCTCAGAAACTTTTACTTTCACCCAGATCACAACACCAAGTTAAAAAATATATATGTCTATATATACATATATATATTTTTAAATACTTTCAAAAAGCTACACACTATCACTTCTCAGACGTGCCAAGGCCCGATATTTGAAATGCCTGGCAAGGACTTTGCAATTACAGGAGAGCAAACAAGAAAAAAATGAATACCTCTTTAAAAGCAGCCATTTGCTTCTGGATTCGGTTTACAAATCGCCATTGTATTACAAGACTAGAAGGAAAACAACATTTCACACATTTTTCATCTGGAGTGAGCAAAAAGTACAGGGCACATCAATTCAAATTGGAAAAAAAATTAAAGCCTAGCTAGGCACAAGGGCAAGACTGACTATGAGCAGGTAACACTGCATGATTATAGAAAAGGACAGTCAGAGTCTGGCCATGGGAAAGAGGGAGAGTTTTCCTGAGAAGAAACAGAAGATTCATTTATAAAATGCGCAAAGTACTTACTGAATACTGTCAGAGACTTAATGATAAAATACTTACTAAATATATTCTTTTTTGTTCTTATTGGTGACAACTATTTCTGATCCACCACTTTTCAACTCATGTTGATGTGTCTAAAATCAAACAGGATATCTTAATATGTTATTTCAATGGGGGGGGGGGAAAGAATGCATTTTGTAGTTATACCAGAGACCTGGTGTTTTTGAATGAAGTGCATTGAAATTTAAAAGCTAAGAAAATTTAAAATGCCACTTTTACTCAAATAAATCTGGATGAGGCACATGTCAACTACAGCACAACTTCTCACTGACAACTTCTGTCCTTGGAAAGTACAGGTCCGAAACGGGGCACACAGTCGTGCCGGCATTGGCATTTCTCTTCACATCGTCCCTTCGGTCACCGCATTTGCTTTGCATTCTGAATCACCTAATGGAGCTATATTGACAAACCTGTCCAAAAAGTTCTTCATCGATGATAAATCTCAGGTCCAGCTCCGTTGGGTCATTTTCGAGAATCCATCTTAGGGAATTGTAATATTCACTATCCTAGTAGGAAAAGATGGCATACTTACCTTTTGTAGTTATAAAGAAGACATCTGCACTTTCAAAAAAATTTAGGACAGTCTGAACAGGACTGTCATTTGAGGGAAAGATGACAGGGTCAATTGGACATCTACATGCACACACACACACACACACACACATACACACACACAAACACATACACACACACGGAGTTGCATGACCAGTAAGCCACAAAACACCCTCGCTATCAACTTGATGGCTCACATTGTGAAGGCTCTGGGCTTGACAGTTCACTGACATCGAGTTGAATCTGACTCACAGTGACCCTGCTGGAGAGATGACTCCTTGACTTCCCTAGACTGTAATAAGAATTAAGACTACATCTCTCTCCTGTGGAGCAGCTGGTGATTTTGAACTGCTGACTTTGTGGTTTGTGGCCCAATGCTTAATCCACTATGCTACTAGGGCTCCGAAATGTAAGACTAAGGATATGTGAATCAGCTGAGTAGTTACAGTGTCAGCTTAAGTTTAGTCATCTAATGCTATGTGAAAGCAGTGTAGGTTCAGACTACGCTACCCAATGAGGGAGCTAAGCAAAGCCGTTTTCAGGGTAGTCCTAACCTACCTTCCACGGGTGTCTCGAAGCGCCTAGAACCTTTCTCTCATGGCTTATGAAACTGTGCGTGACATGTATAAGGAGCGTTCATATATACACCACGTGAAAGTGCGACATCAAATTAAATACAGACCCTCGTGTAACTGTGCAGTCTTGAGACTTGTCAAGACTTCCAGTGTTTGTAGTGACAATGTATAATGAGATAGGAACGACAAACGTGCACGGTCCCAAGGACAACGTCTTGAGACCCAGGCTGCCACCTTTGTGGAAGGCTCTTCAGATTAAGCGTGGCCCCTTAGGTTTCTATTTCTTTGTAGCAGCCTAACCCCAAGTCCTTGCCTTTGGACTGCCACTTTGAAAACACAAACCATTGATTCTAAGAGATCACTGAAAGGCTGATGTAAGCTAATACATAAAAATACGGGACAGAATGCTAAAGTATATATTTAGGGGTTGAGTAGTTTATGGGACAGTGGTTAAATCACTTGGCTGCTATTGAAAAGCTGTCAGTTCAAGCCCAGCAATTGCTCCTCAGGAGGAAGATGAAGCAGTGTGCTTCCAAAAAGACTTACAGCCTGGGAGACCCAACGAGGCAGTTCTACTCTGTCTGACTTGCTACTCTGACTATTCTGTCGTATTTGCTGTGAGTTGGAATAAACTTGATGTAAATGGGTTTGGTTTGCTTTTGGGTTACTTACATCTGGAACTTAAGGAGCCCTGGTGGCATAAGTGGGCTATGTGATGGGCTCTAACTGTAAGGTCAGCAGTTGGAGCCTGCTCCTGAAGAGACAGTGGAGGCAATCTGTTCTTACAAAGATGTACAGGCTCAGAAATCCTATAGAGGATTTCCCTGAGTCAGAATGAACTCCGTGGTGGTGGATATATGCAACTTACTTTGAAAATACATGCAAAAATAAATAAAATTAGTTCCTGGCTAGAAGGATGGGTACACAGACAGGTATGGGATAAGTATAGAAAATGCTAATCGTAGAGTCTGGGTAGTGAATATACAGGTGCTCACTGTAAAAACTAATTCAATTTTCTTATATGTTAGGAAATTTTTTTATAATAATACATTGGTGATCTAATTCTTAAATGCTTCTCCCCCGCTCCCACTATCATGATCCCAATTCTACCTTCCAAATCCAGCTAGACCAGAGGATGTACACTGGTACAGATAGGGACTGGAAACAGGGAATCCAGGACAGATGATCCCTTCAGGACCAGTGCTGAGAGTGGCGATACCAAGAGGGTACAGGGAGGGTGGGGTAAAAAGGGGGAACCGATTAAAAGGATCTACATATAGCCTCCTCCCTAGGAACAGACAAGAGAAAAGTGGGTGAAGGGAGATGTCGGACAGTGTAAGATATGACAAAATAATAATAATTTATAAATTATAAGGGTTCATGAGGGAGGGGGGAGTTGGTAGGGAAGGTAAAAATGAGGAGCTGATACCAAGGGCTCAAGTAGAAAGCAAATGTTTTGAGAACAATAATGTCAACAAATGTACAAATGTGCTTGAGACAATGGATGTATGGATGGATTGTGATGAGTTGTACAAGCCCCCAATAAAATGATTTTTAAAAAAGAAGTCAGTGAAAACGTTCATTTGCACTTTGGAACACTGTAATCTATCAATTTGTATATCATTAACAGTGCAGCCTCCAAACCGTTCAGATTCCTGTTCAACTGTACTTCCTCTCTGTGAGTGCAAAAGACATACCACAGACTCCATGTCATGAAGTGTTATGGGTTTCTGTAGCATCATCTTGTAAAACGGCCGGATGAAGAAACCTTGTGAAAATAACCAAATATATTTAAAATGATTACGAGTGACAAGAATCCGATAATTACCTTTTTAACCACTTTTGTGATTGATACTAACCATCTAACAGTTTGCCATGATGAACTGCCATTCCAGCTACTCGGCCTATAAACTTGAAGTAAGAGAGGTGATCTTCATTGCATAACCCAGAGTTGGGATTTATCTGTAGGGTATAATTATCCCTGCAAAGAAAACCACCGGTAAATAAGCCTTTATTTCATATGAAATTCTCAAGGTGACAAAGAACCCTAAACGTGCCTCCTCTTTAGAACTGTTCCCCTCTATCAGAATCAGCGCTGGTGCCGTTGTCCAGGGCTGTTCTGGTCACTCTGGGCTCACAGTGATCCCAGGTGAGAGAGGGGGGCTGCCCTGTAGGCTTTTCTTGGCTGTCATTCCACAGGAGCGGACTGCCAGGCCTTTCCCCCAGAGCTGCTGCTGGAGTTCAAACCGCCAACCTTTGGATTTTGCAGCTGAATGCTTCATCACTGCACCACCGGGGCTTAGAAACACACTGGACCATTGGAATGGGTGGGCTTTTGGTTTTTAAATCATCTCATTGGGGGCTCTTATAGGTCTTATCACAATCAGAATGGGTAGTTTTTAAAACCGTCGTTTCCAGTGTAACACCTGTCTCCTTTGTCTCATAGAACTGTGTACTTTCAAAATGGTGAGAGCTTTTTTTTTCTTTCCAGTATGCAACCATTATAAAGGTACTTACGTAGCAGAATATTCAAAGAGCCCATAGTAAGGGTTAAACATCTCTTTTGAGATCAGGAAGAACCATTCTCTGGCGACGCCTCCATAATCCAATCCCTTTTCCCCATCAAACTCAATCCACAGCCTAGCCTTGAGGAAGTCTGCTCTCTTGACAGCCATAATTCTTCTGTAAGAATCCTCAAGAACAGTGGCCCGGCGAAGTTTCATTTCAAATTTATTTGGAATGTCATTCTGAAAACCCAGAAGAGAGATGAGTGACTTACGTAAATTCAACGAGATGAGAGAACTCTGACCAGAGTCCCCCTCCAGCACAGGGCCTCAGAAAAGGCGCAGCACATCCTGTGGAGCAGAGTGCTGCTGGGGACCACACCCGGGCATGCGCGGACAGGAGTCGTGGACTCAGTGGCAGCTGGATATGGCTAGATAAGTACTTTTTCTTTTTTTTCAATAAGTCATTTTACTGGGAGCTCTTACAGTTCTTATAACAATCCATACATCCATTGTGTCAAGCACATTTGTACATATGTTTCCATCATCCTTTTTTTTGTCAAGCACATTTGTACATTTATTGAATAAGCACCTTTTCTGGAGCTTTTGGTTAATCTGAGAATTCCCATTTTGTATCAATTTTAGAAAATGTATCCTCTGACCTTCTGGCACAACTCATCTCCTTTATCTTTATTATATGTAGGCCACTTTGCACTGATTTCCCCTCTTAGTCATCATACAAGGATATGTCATGGTGTTTAAAAGCACGCACGCTGGAGTGAGACCAGTTATTTGAATTTTGGCACTTACTAGGCAGGGGGCTTGATGAAATGACTTAGTCTCTGTGCCTCATCAGCCTCGTGGTCTGTGAAATGTGGTGAGAATAGTGTCTTCCTTTTAGATTTGTTGTAGAGCTTCAATGTCACTTGTAAAGAAGAATGCCTGGTATATAGTAATAATAATTATGCTTTTTGTATGACCTGACTCTTACAAAAGGCCTCGTCTCCTCTCTTCTGCTGGAGGGCATCAGTAATTATATGTGCTAACAAATTCTCTCAGTGGCAAATACAGATGCCAGGGCTTCTTCTGAACCTGCATATTCTCATTCTTAATGAAGATATTTCCTAGAAAAATGATTTAAACAGATTTAAATGGCAAAGCTTAGACTCTGTAGAAGATTAAATTCTCAGAGCAATTCTGATACAAAGTTACCATTTAAGAGGCCGTGAAAGAGTTGATGACATATTCGGATTCTATTAGGGTACCAAAACACTATCTTATTCCAATGTTCGCTTGAAATTTGGGATGAAAAATTCAGTGGCTTCACTGAGAAAAACCTGGTGATTTGCTTCAGTAAAAATTATAGCCTAGAAACCCCGTGGCGCAATTGTACTTTGCCATGTGGTGGCCTACGAGGGGAAGTGGGCTCCACGTCACCTCACAACAACAGGGTGGACATTGTCTGGCCGCCAATCCAATCCACCATATTGAATCTCTGGCAAAATTGAAATCTGGCTTAAACACAAGAAAGTGTAACCCAATATAGCCACCTAGTGGTAAGATTCTGAAACTGCAAGGGAAGAGGGAGACGTCTCAGCAAAACCAGAAAGGCATTAAAAAAAGAACGACCGTCACAAATAGGAATGGACGAGATCGGAAGACGGTGAATTTAGTTCTAAATATATTGCACGTGAGGTCGAGTGGAACTATGTGACCTGGAGACAAGTCACCGGAGCACTGTCCAATCACAATCATATTGTCCCATAGGCAGAGATCTATTCACTATGTGTGAAGAAGTGGAGAATGACGAGTCCAAGGAAAAGCACAGAGAAGGAATGGAGAACTGCACTGGAAGGTCATTTCCTCAGCTATTCATGTGCACTTCTATCAAGCCCAAGGCCCAAAAGCCCCATTAGGTAACAACAGGTTAAAGTTCTTTGAAACCAACTTCAATACTGTTTTTCTAAATTTTGGAAGATAAAGAAAAACATCAAATAATTATAGTCTGGGCTGACTATAGTAACTACTTGCAAAATAAGCATTCTTCCTCTATAAGAAATTACTCAAAGCTATTACAAATTGAGTACATTTTCTAATAACAAAAATTTTCAATTACTTTTAAAAATGCATTTATATATATTTATTTAGTCATTGTTATCTTTTTTTTTTTTAGTCATTGTATCTTATATAATAACCATCCCCAAGTATTTACTATAAATACCACTAACCTGCTTCCTCAACTTTCGTCGGAAGAACTCATATTTTCGTTTGTAATCCCTGGAATAGGGCACTGCCTTCAGTTGAAAATTTTGGAAAAATCAAGAAAGATTTAGGTTGTTTTTATTCTGGATGGAGTAATTTTAAAAAGCCCCATCTCTGGACTTTCTATAAACATATGTTAAAGGCATTAAAAGAGAATAGTTGGAAAGAAAAGTTTAGGTTGAAAAAATATATAAAGCTTAACATTTTTTTAATTCCTCTGTTTAAAATAAGGAATTCCTATGCTATGGCTGTAATTTTAATCATGCAATTTTCTTGAAATGCAATATGCCCAAAACAGGAAGTTTCTTCCAACAACAGAAGTATTAGAAATGAAAATTTCCATTTCCAAAGAGACTCAAAGTATTTTCTCCACTAAGGGAATTTGAAAAATGCACATTTTCCTTGCCCTCTGAGGAGTTGCCCTTTTTATCCACCACTGGAAGATTTTTAAGATACTAAAGAGTAAGTGGAAAAAATGGCAATTTCACTTATTTTTCTGGATTATAAAACAAAACTTGGAAAACAATGGGAAAAAGAACTATACTTATAATGAAGAGTATTTTCTTATAATATCTAACTCAATAATAGTAGCGTACATCCGAGGGATTCCCAAAGTTCATGGAAAAATTCTATGATCCATTTTTCCATGAACTTTTTTGAAGCTCCCTCATATATCATATTTATAGTTGAGATATAAATATTGGTATGGACACACAGAATCGTCAATGTTTCCAACCATAATGTTGGAAACAGCTCTGGAGTTGATAGTGTCATTCGCTCGTTACCCTGACACAGCCTTGGCTCTCCTCAGATCTGGGCAGGATTGCCAATCTTCTCTTTCACACAAGGTCAAGTACTGACCGGAGTTTGGTGGCTCAGCATTAGCAATGCCACTGTCTGATCCCTATGCTGTTGCCGAGGTGAAGACAACTGCAGTTGGACAGTCTTTCCAAATAACCAAGAGTCAGGTTGGGGTACGCAGGGAGAGGAGAGAAGTAAGCCGGTGTAATGTTGTAATTAGGCCCTCTGAAGAGACAGGGGAGAGGGAAAGAACGTGGTGAAGGGAACGTACTGGTCCAGTGATCGCTACATTCTGCAACCGAGGATCCTCCCACTGAGTTCTCTTGATATCTGAAGGGGGAGAGGAAATAAGATGCTCTTCTTTCTCATGTACATAATTCAGTGTTACCCCCCCCCAAAAAAAAATCATGTAATTAAAAATCACATGGCACCTACTGTGATTTATATAGACGATTCTTCCATCTGTGTGAGTTCTCTCTTCCCATCCTGGCTGTAATAAAAGGCTTTAGATGCAGAGGCAGGAAAATGGTGATGGTTTGATAGCTAATTTGCATATGAAACGTCTAGTAAGAGGCACCAGCATTTCAATGACAATATTAATTATTGTTAGTTGTTAGAGAACCACTGTTTTCCTACATACAAAGTATTTTTGGTAGCCAAGTAAGACAGGTGGGAGTTCCATGAACTTACAGGTAGAGGGCCCAGATCACTAGGAGCATCAAGGGATGTCTTTCCTCTCAAATGAGCTGGAATGTTCCATCTTGGAGCTTCCTTCGTTGTTAGAATCAATTAAAAAACAAAAATAGTACACACACTAGTTTCAGATAATGAAAGCCGCTCTAATTGTTACCATGCTTTCTAATCTGCGTGGATAGTCTCTCTAATACTTCATGTGTTTGAACTGTGACATCACAGCTTGTCCTGAAATCACTCACTCTGAGGCTACAGTCACGGAGAGGAATGATGGGGTGGGATGAGCACTCCCTCATGGCCTTCTTCAGAGGGGCCCTTCAGAGACGTATGCGCAACTATTCAAGGGTTGTGCCACTTTTCAGGACTTTTCTCTAAATAAAAATTGGTGAAAGAGAAGGCCCTTTTCTGGTCCTGAGGCCCTGAATTTACTTGTTGATTTATCAATATGGAGGGGCTTCAATTAAATTCATGGGAAAATGGAATGAAAATATAATCACATTTCTTCTACAAACTTTTTGAAAACCTCTTCATATAACAAAGATAAAAAAGGTAAGCACCCACAGCTATTTAGAGTCAATTCAGATTGTTGGAAAGGGAAGAGAATTAAATTTGTTTGGATTAATCTACATCTGGTTATGACTTAAATCGTTTTAGCATTACCTTGTGAAATTATACTTTAAATGGGTTTCATTTATTTAATATATTGGTATTTTAAATAATGAGTCACTTGATTAATAATTAATTAAAATCTGTTCATCTGCTGCTACTTTTGAGGAACTTCCTGGGTGGTAGGGAGCCAATCAATAAGTAACTTTAAGCTTCATCTTAAAATACTTGTCCCACCCAGCCTCACAGGGTTGTTTTTTTGAATATGAAATGGATGTTAAAAACATTTTTTTAAACAAATAAATAAAAAAAGAAATGGATGTTAATCCAAAAAGGTACTGGGAACTATGAAGACTCAAAAACTGTCAGGGGCATCACCAACCGCCTAAGCTTTCATGGCGAGGGACTAAGTGTATACCTCCACAACCATCCAAAGGAACATAAAAAACAGGCATAGTTATCTGTTCCCCAGAAAGGATCATTATTCAGACTACCATCTGTCTTAGCTGAATACTAACAAACACAGGTACACTAGAGATGACACCGAGCCACACAGGAGGCTGTCCTGGCGGTGCTCCACATTTACAGAAGAGCGCTGAAGTTACTTACCCAGGTGGTCGTTTTCGTGTTGTGGTCAATAAAGAAAGGCCGTCCATTCGGTGCATGTCGGACTTCCCAGCCCTTAGGAAGGAATCTCTGCTCCAGTTCAGAAGGAGGCTGGGTCACCGGCTGCGCTGAGTCACCCGGGGGGGCCTGTGGCTGCGGACATGCAGGAGAGCTCTGGCTCGATGGCAGCTGACCGGTCTCCGTCGCGGCCTAGCACAGCAAGTAAATAAGGGCGCGATGTGCTCCGGGGAATCATACACAGCAGTGCTTAAACAGATGAGCTACCCTGCAGAGCGCACAGACTTTAGAGGACTTCCACACGAGGCTCATCTGCCAATGTAGTTAGGACATTTCATTCATTTGTCCCCATTACCGTTCTAACTTTTGTCTCTCTAACCCCCTTTCCTAATGAAATGTTTTGTTGAACTTGGTATTGATAATAATTTAGACATTTTCAGCTAATTCTCAATATGCTGGGGAATAGTCAGAATCTGTTGTAGGTGCATCCTGAACCAGGAGGCTGGATCACTGAGGTCCATACCCTGGCTGCAAGGGAGGCCAGTTAGAATGTCTGTAGGGGGAATTCCCAAAGCACAGACGTGGGTGCAAATGTGGGGTAGATAAATAAACGAATAGAAAATATTCACTACAGAAATGGTTAACTGAAATATCATTTAACAGTAACATATTCACATGACAGATTATTAGACAGTGTTAAAAGGAATAACCTTGATCTAAACATAGCAACAAGGATAAGGTTTCAAAACAATGTTGAGTGCAAGAAGACATTGGCTAACAGAAAGACTCTAACATCCACCAAACCTTAAAATACAGTCAGATACGTTATGCTCGGTTTAGTCTCTTGGTTAAGTTTTCCAAATCGGATAGAAAAACACAAAACAAACGAGGTGGAAGTCACCTGAGAGATGATGAAAACAAATGAGCTTGGCTAAACAGGATGTAGCTTTATCTGGCATACATTTCTCTTCTTAAAGGAAACATGTAGAAACAAAGATGATACACTGTTAGTGGTAGTTAGCACCGGGTGTTAGGACTATAGGCATTTAATATTTCATTCTCTGTACTTTTCAGTGTTAAAAAGTTTCTCAAAAAGAGAAATGGTAATAAGATAAAACCTTCTAAAAAACAAAACAAAACATTTTGCTAAAGACTTACACGGAATACAACAGAAGATGGTTGCTGTTGTCCACGACAGTGTCCCCATCCCAGTTTTCTTCTTTGGGGGAAGAGAAAGCCTTTCCCTCTGTCTACAGCTTTAGAAACACTTTGTAACAGGCTGACTAGCTATGTGCACAAAAACATGTCCTCACACAGAGGGGAGAAAATGCCCTCCTCTCAACAAAAGAATTGAAAACAGAAGAAGAACTACAGTGGAGAAATTAAACTATTATGGACATGCAAAAATATGTAAAAATATTTGATGGGGTTCTGCCTGGATTTGAAGGTCTCTAGCCTTGTAAGGATATTTTTTTCCAGCTCCTATTTCTCACCCTCTCAGAATTAATGATAGTTTCTAATATTTTGGTAATGGTTAAGAACTTTGGCCAGTCCAAGCATCACCTTAATGATTAAACATTATTAAGTGTTCACAGTCAGAGTCAAATAAGCTGGGATTCAAGAAAATTCAGAGAACTAAGGATGAAGAAACCCAGTTACAGGAAAATTCATGTGTGTGTATTATAACACAGAACCATAAGCTTTTTTTTTTTTTACTGTGCAATTGTAGTATACACAAAGCTCTGGTAACCAAACCTACAGACGTTTTTTTGAATTTTTTCCTTAGGGATCAATCACTGAGATTCTCCTTTAGAAAAATAATAAAGTTATCCATTCAAGTTATAAAATCACCCAGTGGACTAGATAGTTTACTCTTCCTTATTCACACTTTACATAACAGCATGGACACTGGAGAGCCACAGGAAATGGGAGAGCTTAAGGCTGGGTGTCAGAGAATAAATAACTAGAAGAGAATAGAAGCATGGAGTGTGCACTGCAACGTGATGGAAGAGGCTCCATAGGAATTCAAAGGTGTAAGTACTGTAAGAAAATCAATCAATCAAGAGATTCCAGGTACCTGCGTGGTGGGCTTTGTCCAGGTAGTAGTTCTGGAATTGTGATCTACATAATAGGATCTTCCTCTTTCATCTTGTTTTATTTCCCAACCTGGTGGTAATCCAGATGAAGTAGGCAAAAGCTAAAGTGATGAATGATTGGATTGTTATTAGTCAATTCATAAGGAAGAAGGTTTTTTTCAAAAAGGAGGCCACATTCCTTCCTTGCTGCTACCTCTCTAAAATGAATCCTACTTAGAGTACATTTTAAAATGTTGGGAATAAAGTACACAGCGCTTCGCTTAACACAAAACAAAACAGCTCAGTAGAACAGACAATGAAAGTGGTAACAAAAATGAAACATGAAGGCAGCAACCACATAGCAAGTGTATTAGCAAAGATCATGTCATTTAATCACACCATGAATCTTAATCATTGCTACTATCGGCCCATTTTATTTATAAGGAAACTGATGCTTAAAAGATTGATGCAATTTGCCAAAAATACGTTACTAGTAAGGAATTGTTGAGATTTGAACCCAAGTGGGCCAACAATAGACATGATCTATGCAGAGTCAAAAGTTACCCCTACCTTGTTCCTCTAAGGGCTGGGGGAGATGCTGTGTGCTATATCTTATAGGAACAAAGCCAGGTCTAGTCAGCTTCAGATTTACTTAAAATAGTCCTGTTTGTCCCTCTTCGAGTCATTCTGAACCAAATTCAACTCCTCAAGGCTTGGCTTGACTACCCAAAGGGCCTTATAGCATAAAAACCATCACCACCAGTCTGCTCACTCGATACCCTGCTTCCTAAAGCACACACAAAAGCTGTATGTACTTTGCTGCCTGTTATGATGAGCTATGAGAATCCAAAATGATAAAATGAACAGTTCTCCAGTTTCGAAAATGTCCATCAGTGATTTCAAAGATCAATGTAGGAGGTGCCATCTATGCACTGAGTCTGCTGAGACATGCAACACCACAGATACATCCCCAAAACATCTTGTTAAGGGAAGTTGTCATACACCAGGGTGTATACTGTACGCTTCCACTTAGATGAAATTTCTAGAAAAGACAAAACTGAAGCAACAAAAAGCAGGTGAGTGCATGCTGGGAGCTGAAAGTAGAAGCAGGGAAAGACCATAAAGGGAGTAAGGTTGTCTTAGTGGCGGTGGAAATTTTCCTAAACTCGATAGTGGTGAGGGTTGTATACCTGTTTGAATTTGTTAAAACTTACTGACTTGTATGTGTAACAATAGGCAAATTTATATTAGGTAAATGATACCTCAAGAAAGCTATAAAATAGTCAATATGCAAATGGTACTTAATAAGAATAAAACACCTGTGCGCTTCCAAAGACTTCACCAAGAGGGTGACGAGACAACCCACCGACTGGGAGAGGGTTTTGAGTGATGACACAACGGACAAAGGGCTCATTACTGAAATCTCCCAACACCCTCCTGGCCTGCAAAAGGAGAGCAGTTGACCCTCTAAGGAAGTGGGCAAAAGAACTGAAAATAACTTTCACTAGGGAGGAGACCTGTATGGCCAACAAACATATGAGAAAGTGTTCCCGTTCATTAGCCGTAAGAGAAATGCAAATTAAAACAACCGTGAGATACCATCTAATACCCCTGAGGTTAGCCCAAATCAGAAAATAAGAGAGCAACAAATGTTGGAGGGGATATGGTGAAATAGGAACCCTCCTCCACTGCTGGTGGTTGTGTAGATATGTAGTCACTGTGGAAAGCGATCTGGTGATACTTAAAGAAAATGGAAATTGATCTACCTTATAACTCAGCCATCCCTCTACTGGGCATATACCCAGAGGAGGTGAGAAATAAAACATATGCGTTTGCGCTCCAATGTTTATTGTGGCGCAATTCACAATTGCAAAAACTTGGAAACAGCCTAAGTTTCCATCGACAGCCGAGTGGATTAGTAAACTTTGGCACATACACACAATGGAGTACTATGCAGCACTGAAAAGCACGGATGATCACATGAAACACGTCATTTCATGGGAAGAGTTGGAAGGAATCATGTTAAACCAGGTAAGCCAATCTCAAAAGGACAAGTATAACACGAGCCCCCTGAAGTAAGTACAATCAGCACAGCAGGGGTAGAAGAAAAGACACGTATCTACAATACACAGGTGGAAGCATAAGCAGTCGGGAGAAGGTCAGACCAACCCCAGGGAGGTACATGTGAATCCAACATAAAGGAGGAGAAAGGGGGAAGGTGGAGGGAGAGAGGGAAGAAACTGAGATGACCCGAGGGGGAACGGTGCACTAACCCACCCAGGGGAAGAGTATTAGTTGTGTCCCCACAGAATTGGAGTGTGCATACAGCCCCCACCATGACACACCAAACCAGGAGGGCAACGTAACATGTGGAAGAAGCCATGAAAAGACTGGACCACAGGGCCGTCCCCAACCAGAACCAGCCTGACCCCCGCCCTGGAAGTGTGTGCTGCAGAGAATGACACCAGACCTTTAGGTGGGGGAAAGGAACCGACCTACCATACCCAGACGGAAGCAAACAAGAAGGAAAAAGAGAAAGGGGCAGTCGGCCTAGACTCCCTATGGGCACCCCAAGCCCAGGGATGAGATCCCTGCATGGAGCTGCTGGGGCACAGAGAGGACCGTGGGACTGCCAACAACTCAAGACACGTTATCCCCTAACTGGAGCATACAGAGACAGGGGACAATAATGGGGACGCATGGCGGGGAGACAGTGTGGGAACTGAGCATAACAGATCAGAATTGGAGTAAAGCTGAGCCCCAGAGCCCCTGAGGAGCCCCAAGAATGGACTTTGGACGAGGAGGGGCAGCCCCTGGATCTCCCTCAGGACCAGGGGGGAGGGTCT